TGTCAGGTGTAACGGCGTCTTCCATGTTAAAGATTCCTGGAATGTTAACGCTGATTGAATGATGGACATTTAGAAATTTTAAAGGCAATAGCTCAGACCAATAAAAAACCATTGAACTTCAATAATGACCCTGAATTTCTGAGCTTTGAACTATTTCGAGGATTATGTTTCGAACGAGATATGATTGAGAACCTGTCAGCTTATATCGTGCTTCGTACTGATTTAGTTTAAAGATAAGGAGTGGAAAAATTATAAGCGCTCTGATAACTTTTGAACGGACGTCATCTGTCGTTTTAGGTCTATTCGCACATTTCTGCCGATAAAAATGAGAAGGAGATATCCTTCCAAAAAATGGCCTTCAGTCAATTTCTTCTATCTCTAGCTGATCCTGTTGCTTGAACTTTCAAGCTTAAATCTTGGAATAGCACAACCAAAATTAAATATTAGGTACTCTATAGAAAAATACTATACCCAACAAAATCTGATTTTTGTTATCTGATTGCTTTTAGAAGCTTCACAAAGCTCACGCTGCTATGAAATAAATTAGGGAGATAATCATCCAAGTGGATATAATCTAATACTTAAAATACTATCGATCAGTATCTTTGACATATGGAATTTCCGGTATATCTTTGGATTAGTAGATCAGTTTTTCTCTAATAACAACATAGTGAGCATTATTGGTTACTTGCAATTAGACCACTCTTATCTGTAATAATAGTCTAGTTTTTTTATAGTTGATTACAGTAGTTGTGGTGTACAAAAACATACTGTGATCAATCAAGCCAAACTGAGAACAAGTGTCTCAGATACACTGTTAAAGTCGTCTTACCTTCCGAGCCAATAAAATGAATTTACTAAGGCTCAAAATCGTTATACAAATTCTATATAAATAAAAATAGCATAAAAAATGAATAATGTGCAATCCGTTTATTATACAACAATTCTTTTACCTCTGTCTCTCCTATAACTTAAATTGATTTTTTCCTGTATGAGTTAATACGACAAGCTAATCATCGGACTGGAATAAAAGTCCTTCTTCTCGAGTAGAAGCTTTTCGGAACTCTCGAAAGCACTCGTATCATCATTTCACTTAGCTGATTTGATACTCGCGCATATCATATTTTTGTTGCTAGATACCCAAAACAGCGTAAGAGAGCTATGAAAATCGAGGTAATTGTGAAGTATTCAAATTCAATTTTAGGTTGTCGTAATAGACCGATAGGGCTTTATAATATTTTAATGAAATCTTTTTAATTGTATTTCCCTCATTTTGCTTTATCGATTTAAAAATAAATCGTCAAAATCGGAGCCATAGCAACCGAGCTATTGAGCGCTCTTTATGAACGCCCGGTTTCAATTTCTATAATTCATCCCTTCTCTCCGGTTTTGCGACTCAAATATTGGCGATATTCATTGAATTTTTATACAAAAAGCACAAGTGCGATATTTTTAAAAGCACAATAGAAAGTTCTTGAAACAACCTACCAAATTAAGTTTTTGTTGTTGTTACGTTATGCATAGATTTGCAGCTAACCCTCGTCGACTTTGACACTCGATATCTCAGAACTTATACGACCGATTTGAACGGTTCTTTTTTTTCAAGTTAAGTGTCTTGCCGAGAACTGTTCTTTAATGCTTTGATATATTTTCCAACCCGCAAAACCGCTTCACGAAAGTGTTTGTTTATAAAGTCAAAATTTTTCGAACTTTCAAAATCGCTCTAAAAATTATTAAAAAGAAGAAAATTGATATTATAACGATTCTATATGATGGTTAAGGGGTTCAAGTATGTGTAAAAAAATCAGCGCCAATTGAAATGCCCAACTTTAACCCCAGCATTGCCGCAAAAAAATAACGACATTTCGCACTGAAATTTAGTAACAAATTGTCTCATACCAATACTATCAGGCCGATTTGGATCGGGTTTTGAAATTTCGTTTTATAATCGTTTAAAGTACTTACATCTACATTTATAGTAGAATTGGAAAATTTCTTGCCTGTCAGTTTGACGTTTCCAAATGACCTCGATTTTCATCACTTTCTTACGTAGTTTTGACTATTTAGCAACAAAAATATGATATGCGCAGGTATCAAAACAATTCTATCTTGTAGCAAATTTCATAACAAACAATTTTACCAGTAATAGTTTTTTCTGTAAACTGCATATTTAAGAAGTTATGTTGGAAAATGTTAGAAAAAACACGTCATTTTTGAGTAATTTTGCAGTTTTTAATTTTTTCTGCAAATAGCACAACTTTTTTTCTTGGCGCAACCTTATATTTTCATTGTATA